AGTTTTCCATGTCTGAATATGGTTTCTTTCTCTTGCTGACATAATTAATATGCCCTTGTATCGTGTTAAGCTATAAAATGGTTCATTTAATCACACTTAATTGAATTTATGATTTTATACTTAATTCAGATTTAAATCCTGTAACAATACTATTTATTCTTTTCTCTCCCCTCTCATTACATTGTTTAAGGTAGCTTATACTACTTACCAGGTGGAAACACTTATTAATTCGACAACTTGAAAATATTCTAGGAAGTTAAAATTGAAATGAGGTACTAAACATGGTATCATTATTAGGCAGGGAAGAGAAAACACAATTTAAGAAATAACATGCATTGATAGGCATCAGCATGAAGCTAGGAAATGAAACATAATTAAGACCTCAGGTTATAAGTTCTCACCTTGATACTTGCAAGTTTATTAGTTGTGCATGTTTAGTTTTAATATGTAAGATATTGTGGTAGAGTTGCTATAGTTACATCATCTAAAATTGCTAAAAAAAAAACAAAATGCCTTCAATGTTACTGTGAATATAAAGTGTGACAATGTGTGAAAAGGTATGCTAAAAACAATATAGAAACTAATGTTTGTTATATAATGCATTATATAAGTATAAAAATTGCACGAAAAACATGAAATCCAGGAATTAGAACCATCATACAAGGATCTAAATTTTCTGTTTGCTTGGTACGCTAGTATTAGAGAAGAGAGCAAACTTAGGAGGCACTTCCTTGGGTCAGATGATAATTTGTCATGATTTTAAAATACTGTTTGATAAATAACACAGTAAAATAAATGAATGTAACTGGTAATTAAATGCATTATACTAGTACCCATTCCATCCAACTTGTCATCATAATCTTCACCAGAAAATGAAAGAACTTCCTAGCACCAGGAGGCTGCCAAATAGAATGCAATCAGTCGCTTTATTAAATGACGCCAGTGAGGAGATGACTCAGGCATAGTGCAAAGGAAGAGAAATGGCTTTAAATTTTTCAACAGACAAATGTATCTTTATTTCAGTTTAATAAAATAAGAGACAAATAAATAATTAAAAGGTACTTGACAAACTAATTTAACTGCATAATGAGGGTAATCAAAGGCAGCATTTTGGAATATCAAAATGTAGGAAGTGTGAATTTAATGCAAAAAAGAAAAATTGACAAAGCTAAGGTTAACTTAAAAATACAAATGCAATATTTAGGAAAAATATCAATATTTTTCGTCTTCATTTAAAGCTCTGGACCAGAAATGTGAATGATGAAGTTTCAACTTGATGACTGATGATTTCTCTGCCTTGAATCTTTGATCACTTTTTTTTTACTTCTTTATGCTTTAATTTTCTCAGCTGTTTAATATGACATTAAGCTGGGCTATTTGTTTCAAGATTTCAGAATTTAAAAAAAACTGTGAATGAAATAAAAAATGAACATGGGTCCCCAATTTTCTACACAATCAAACTGGGATAAAGTATTTCAGAAAAAAAAATAACTATTTCCATCATCATTATCATACTAAACGAGGATATCTTATAACAAAACTGTAATCTGAGAATAAAGAAACAATAATTTAAATTTGCTTTAGTTCTAAGTTTATTTAGCCTACATTTCTTGTATGAATTTTCCAGGCTTGCCTTTAATTACTGACCAATGAACACTTTACATAGTGACACTGGACCCTGACTCATGTTTTAGAACATTTTTAGGACCCTCTACATTTCTAGATCTAGGGATCAACTTTTCTTTTATGCACTCTATCTTATTAACTAAAATATCAGTACAAAGCATGAATTCAGATGTACATGTTTAGCATTAGTGGTTGAAAGAAAGAGTACTTCTTTCTGTGTGACTACTTTCATATTAGTTTTTTTGTGAGATGATTATTGTACAATCTTTTCATAATTTCAGCACTGATATGGAGAACATCAAAACTCATTATGGTATCTCCAGCAACTTTCTACTCATTTCTCCTCTTTCAGTAATATCATTGGAAACTTATATTCTATTAATGAAAAGATGAAAGGTCTAGACCATAGAAGATTTATTAATTCCCCATTGTCTGAGTGTGTGGGTGCAACCCTCGCGGTCCTGAGTTCCTTGCTTGTGTTCTCTCTCCTTCTGCTTTTGATTTGGACCTTGAGATTTCTATCTGGTGGTCCGAAGTGCGTCTCTGTGTCTGTATCCTTTCATCGCCTGATGAAGGTTAATATTTAGGAGGATGCCTATATGTTTTTCTTTGGGTTCTCCTTCTTATTTAGCTTCTCTAGGATCACTAATTATAAGCTCAATGTCCTTTATTTATGGCTAGAAACCAAACAAGAGTGAGTACATCCCATGTTTCCCTTTTTGGGTCTGGCTTACCTCACTCAGGATAGTGTTTTCTATTTCCATCCATTTGCATACTGTCACTAAGACAAAAAGGCAACCCACTGACTGGGAGAAGATCTTCACCAACCCCGCAAATGGCAAAGGTCTGATCTCCAAAATATATAAAGAACTCAAGAAACTAGACCGTAAAAGGCTAATCAAACCAATTATAAAATGGGGCACTGAGCTGAACAGGGAATTCTCAACAGAAAAATTTCAAATGGCCAAAAGACACTTAAGGTCATGCTCAACTTCCTTAGTGATCAGGGGAATGCAAATCAAGACAACTTTAAGAAACCATCTTACACTTGTCAGAATGGCTAAAATCAAAAACACCAATGATAGCCTTTCCTGGAGAGGTTGTGGAGTAAGGGGAACACTCATCCATTGCTGGTGGGAATGCAATCTTGTGCAACCACTTTGGAAAACAGTGTTTCGGTTTCTCAGGAAATTCGGGATCAACCTACTCCTGGACCCAGCAATACCACTCTTGGGAATATACCCAAGAGATGCCCAATCATATGACAAAAGCATTTGTTCAACTATGTTCATAGCAGTATTGTTTGTAATAGCCAGAACGTGGAAACAACCTAGATGCCCTTCAATGGAAGAATGGATGAAGAACGTATGGAATATATACATATTAGAGTACTACTCAGCAGTAAAAAACAAGGACTTCTTGAATTCAACATCATTTTCTAGATGAGGATAAAGAAAAATCACTCCCTTAATTCTTTGAAAATATTAATGATACAATTAAAATTTGAAATTTACAATAATTTTAACAGTCTTGATCTGGTGTCTGCCTTTATCAGTTGTAACAATGACCCTAAATATTTGTTATTAATTTTTTAGAAACAATTTAAAACATATATGCATTGTATAAAATATAGTCACATGTTCTATATTAGAATTGTATTATTAGGTGACTATTTTTGTGTAAACATGAGTATATATTCTAATATTTCTTTGACATCACCAGAAAATACTGAATAATGGGAAAACGTTATATACAAAGTCCCTTGATCATGAACTTCCAAACCTATCAACTGTGAGAAGTAAATCTATTTTCATTGCTAATTACCCAAGTATGTGGTATTTTATTGTAGTGAAATAAAACACAGTAAGCAATATGTCTTTCTGTATGCGTGTCCTATTAATAAAGATATTTAGAATTAAACTCTGTTCTGTTTAATTCAACTCAAGATAAGTAGTTTAGATATGGTCACAAAAGGTATCCTAAATATAGGAATTGAAAATAACCACCATCAAATTGACAGGACAATTTATTTTAAACTAAAATTTACATATTTTCTTTTAGAACTGATTCTATTTATTAAAAAAATGAAATGACGAATATTCTGATAGAGGATAGTTAAAATAATAACAGCAATTTTTTAGTTAATATTTGACCTGGTTTTATTTGTGGTGCTTTATATATTTCAATGATAATAATATGCTACTGATAAATGTTTTTTGAAGTTCAATAATGCCTCTAAGTTAAAGGTATACATTAAACACAAGGAATTCAAAAAAGCTACAACATACTTATTAATATAACTTTCTATTATATTATACAATTTTAATATAGAGTAAAAATACATAATAGTATGAAATCATAATGTATCTTCAATAATTAATCTTCATCCACAGCACAGGACACACAAAAAAATAAAAATAAGACAAGGATCTAACAATCCTATAGCAGCAAAGAACTGTAGAATAATATTTACAAGTGATATTCTGGGCTTTATAGACTCTCCCTTCAAAGCACACTAATAGGATTATTTAGTTTTTAGTAAGTTTGGGAAACATGCTTCTGTGTCCTTCCTTTAGCCTCAAAAGTTACAAAATATAATCAATGGATTATATCTTTCTCTTATCCAAAAGAAAAAAAAACTACATTTGCAACCATATTATATCACGTCGAGAAAAATATTTCCTTGATCCATCCCCCTTGTACTTCTTACTCACTTGTTAATGTAGACAATGTTGACAAAGCTACTTACCATGCCTTAAAATCTTACAAACCTTCTGCTCCACTTGTGCTTTCATTCCTCAATTCAATATACTATGATGTAAGACATGAGTCTGCCTTGGATATTTCTAAGGTGTCTACCTTACTCCTATGGCCTCATCATCAACTATTCCTCACTTCTGCTGTAAAAGATTATACAAGTTCACCTGGCATCTATTGAGTTATCTGTGGAAAGAAAGCCCTATGCCATGCTGGCAAAACTTCAGCCTCGTATTTTAGCCATTCCAAAGTCCTTTCTCTTTAGCTAAACTACAGAACATTATCTTTACAACGTTCTCAAGGAACAATGTCTTAGAATCATCTTGAAATCAACAAAGTATGATTCCTTTACAGCATACATTTAAGTTCTTATCAACTTAAAGAATAGATTGAATTATTTGGTTTGAGGTCTGAAAGGTTTAACAACCTCACACTGTTTAAAAATGAAGACGGGTAATTTAAAAGTACAGTGGGCTCAAATATAAGTCAACCAAAACCATCATTCCACTTTTCTTACATCAACAAAGAACTTTTATGATTAATATTGCTCACAGTTTCCTTTGAAATCTTCTCATTAGACTAAAACATATAGGCTAAGAATAGTCTTAATCGATTACCTTTGCTTGCACTTTCCACATGTTCCAGCTCATCAGGAAATTTCAGGATATCTCGGTATTTTTCCTCACATATTTCAGCAAGAAAATGCAAAAGGGTTGTTTTTTGATCTGCTGACTTTGTATCTCTGATCTGGAAGAAAAAAATAGCATTTTTTTGTGAGATAAATAGATTTTTTTTTAAACAAGTCAACAAACAATGAGTGAATATAGATCATGTTGAGGTTCACTTGAACTTTATTTTTCAATTAAATTGGCAGTTGCTTCTTTAATGGCATCTAGTGACATAATTCATGATCTTAAAATGAACCTGGTATTTTATAAAGGAGAAAAACACTAATACAAGTAGCAAATTAAGCCTTAATCTATATTTTCAAAAGATGTCTGAATCATTATGGCAAAATGAACTATTCTTTTTATGAGACACAAACACTAATTTAAGTATTTATAGTAATAGCCTCATTTAATGTGTGTTGATGCTAACAACACTCTGGTCTTTGTATTATTATAAAAATATATTCTTGAAAGATGCATTCATTTGTGAGATTAAATTTATTTCCAGCTATCATAGATGCAAATTAACATAAAAGAGTCAGCATGCTTTACATATCTTTTCTTGCATGGGCCATAAGAAAAAAAATACAAAGTTGTTTCATACAGAATTATGAACCAAAATCAGAATACACAGTCATGGAAGCATGCAATTATTTATTATATATTTGCTTAACATTGTACACTTTTTAGAGATACTAGAAAAAAAATGTCATCAATAGAATGATAAAAATCTTTAAAGGATAGAACAGAAAAAATTTAGGAGTCTAATATTTTCTTATTTAGATTTCTTATACTAGACACAGCTGCAAATGAAATCAAGGATTTACTTATAAACAATTCATAAATACAAGACAATGTATCATATTTTTCTCAGTTTATTGGATGTTTTAATTCTATAAACTTTAGATGATGTGTTTATCCACTGGTGTTCATACAGATTAGGGGTTTTTAGCTTTAAGGATTACTCTGTTTAGAATAAATACATTGTCTTCACAAACAGTTTGGGGAATGACTGCAGAGGATACTTGAGTAATTATAAAATGAAATAGTCTTTGTTGTTTTAATAACTAAAAACAAAAATAATCATAATATTATTATATTAGGCTTATATCAAATCTGTTTTATGCTAAACCTTTTATCAACTATTTATATCCTCATTAAGTGAACATATTATAGAGAAGATTAGCCTCAAGATTCCATGAAAAAATGGCCACAGGAGGCATAATGTTCCAGGGTTCATCATTATTTCTTTGAGAAATTCTACAAAAATAGGATTTCATATATGGAAAATATTTAAAATGCTGTACTCATGCTCATTCACCAAAAAGCTTTTAGTACTACAAGGTTGAATCCGACAATCCAAGGACAAGCTGTAAGAACAAAAAGCAACAGGAACCTAAAGGCAGTTTATCTTAAGTATGGCTAGCAGCTATAGAAGAATCAATTGCAGGCTCTGGTCCTCAAAGACAACTCTTTTGCTGGGATTACTGTGTTATGTGCTCACAAAGTACATCATTTTTACAGTATGTGGGACATTTAAAAAAAATCCCTTACAACTTAACATCCGAGATTCCCTCCCCCCAAAATAAGTGCCAAGATAAACTCCAGAAAAAATCTCCCCTTCCCCACTTGTCAACAGTAAGAAAATTGACTTTTTCCAAAGTCTATGGAGACAAAGTCTATACAAACAAAGAAGAAAAAAAGAACAACAAACTTGCACACTGTTCAAGACACAAAACTGCACATGTATTTTACAGCTGTTAAAATTGTACATAGGAAATGGTGCAAAATAAACAGAAAAATGGTATTGGAGTCATATGCCAATTTTATGCATTTCCTTTTCTTTGTCAGTCATATGGCAATTTTATGCATTTTCTTTTCTTTGTCTCGGCTTTACATTATTTTACAGTAAAAACTTCAGCTTTAGCATTCTTAAACTGCTGAATTTACACATTTATGTGTGTAACAGTATGTGGCTATCTCTGCGTTGTTTGCATGTGTGTGCATATGTGTGAGGATTTGTTCGCCTGTGTGTGTAGGCATTGAGGACATAAGTCAATATCTGGTAGTGTCTTCTATTATTCTCCATCTTGCTTTTTGAGACAGCGTCTCTCACTGAATGTGAAGCTTGCTATTCCAGATAGCCAGGGATCCCTAAGCTTGTCCCTGTCTCCACTCAAAAGAATTTAGACACCACAACCGGATGCTCACCTTACTAGACCTGGATGGAGGTGGGTGGTCCTTGGACTTCCCACAGGTCAGGGAACCCTGATTGCTCTTCGAGCTGATGAGGGAGGGGGACTTGATCGGGGGGAGGGGGAGGGAAATGGGAGGCGGTGGCGGGGAGGAGGCAGAAATCTTTAATACATAATAAAATTAATAAATAAATTAAAAAATAAATTTTAAAAAAAGAATTTAGACATGTTTTTTTATTTTTAATAGTTTTTTTGTTTAATGTGCTTCCTAAGAATCCAAATTCAGATCTTGTATGTGATCACCAAGCACTTTAATCACTGAACCATTTTCAAGTACTGAAAAGAGCTTTCATATTTATTCACTCTCAGTGCCACGAACAATATAATTCTATTATGCAATTTTCCATGGTCAATGGTTGAATCTACCAAAACAAATACAGGATAACATCTCAGTTAAGCAAATATGTTATTATTTCTAATTAAATAAATATGCGTCTTGGAAAAATATGCTTGTGAATTTTAGAACCATATCATCCCCTTCAAAGCCTGGGCAAACAGGGTAAAGCACTGGCCTTGACAATCTGAGCAGTATCTCAGAGACTAGGAGACTAGGTCTTTACTCTATATAGCAATATTTATTTTAGAGAAAACCCTCACACACAGAGTCTTTTTTTTTTGTTTGTTTTGTTTTGTTTTGTTTTTCGAGATAGGGTTTCTCTGTGGTTTTGGAGCCTGTCCTGGAACTAGCTCTTGTAGACCAGGCTGGTCTCGAACTCACAGAGATCCGCCTGCCTCTGCCTCCCGAGTGCTGGGATTAAACAGAGTCTTTTTTTTTTAATGTCGCATGGTCTTTTAATCCTTCCCTCTATACATAACCTTTAGATCAATCCTTTGAAACTAAATAATATTAAAATATAATGTATTATATTGTGTCCACACTAATTCTTACTCTGTATCATTTATACGCTGGTTATACTCTTTTTGTCTCAGTCCATGCCATACTATTCGTTTTCAGTTCAGAAGGCAACTAAAAACCTTTCATCAGTCTTACTTGTTAATGACATTTATCCAGTAGTTTGCTGTTGTGAGTAGACAAGCTGGATATATTCATCTCTTGGGGGTAGAGCAAAGGTAATCTAATCGGAATATGTACAAAATCACTTTGAAAGTAGTTGTGGTAGTTTATTAAGAGATAAAATTGATTTCTATTTGATATCTGGTTACTTGAAATCATGTTAAAATTTTATATTAATGTCAAATATCTAAACAAGGAGGTAGTCAAGTTACAGCTTGCCTAAATCTCAGAGGCAAGTATACTGTAAGTATTTCAAAGACTGCTGTAGCCAGAAGCAAAGTGCCTTTTGGCACTTTTGTCTTTGTTTCAGCTTTATTCCTTCTTCAAGTCTCACTGAGTAAGGACACAGGATAGACACCTGACTTCTTTTCATAAGATGCCAAAGGTAGGGAGAGGCTACTCCAAAATTGCCTATTTTGTATGTTTTTCCAAATACTAAAAACAAAATAGTAAATTTATAAAATAGAACTATTTTGGAAAGCTAAAAAATTGTATTATTTTAGTAATCTGACTTAGTGAATACCAATGAAAATAAAAATCATTTCAATAACCAAGAGCTGCCAGCTAATAAACCACATACATAGTAGCTTTAATTGCAGTCACCTGGCCAGTAATTGTTATGCACAAAGATTAATAACTGAAATTAAATGAATTCTATCTCCCTAATCTTTAATAACATTCAGAAATGGTACACAAATATAAAATATCCTTGGTAGAACAACACCTACACACACACACACACAAATTTTTTTTATTTATTTATTTATTTATTTAATATGCATTGGTGTTTTGCCTGCATGTTTGTCTGTCTGTGAGAGAGTGTCCAGAGCCCCTAGAACTGGAGTTACAGACAGTTATGAGTTGCCATGTGTTTATTGAGAGTTAACTCAGGCCCTTTGGAATAGCGGCCATTTCCCTTAACTGCTGAGCCATCTCTTGAGCCCCTCTGTTCATCTCTTTAAAAAATATATATAAATAATAAATGACAAAAGATAATTTATGCATGTTAAAATACAATAGTAAGGCTTTAGTTAGGTAGATAGGAAAATGAGTAATTAATGGGCACCTAATTTTTTAAAAAAAATAGTTATTTTTAGGTGTATGTGTTTTTGTGCGTATGCCACATATATTCAGGTATCTTTTGAGGCCAGAAGAAGGTGTCAGATTCCCTGGAGCTGGAATTAAAGACATATGAGAACTGCCTGATATGGGTGCTGCGAACTGTAGTCAGGTGCTCTGGATGAAGAGTAGGTGCTCTTAAACACTGAGCCATCTCCCCCAGGGACCCCTAGAAGAATTAGGGATTCTAATTCTAGTTCATTCAAGCCTAATAATTATTAGCCATATCACTGTTTTGAAATCTGGCAATTTAAAGACACAGAATCGTGCAGAGCTAGGGAGCCAGAGAAAACATCTTTTTTTGTTTGTTTGTTTGTTTTTTTTTTTTTTCGAGACAGGGTTTCTCTGTGGCTTTGGAGCCTGTTCTGGAACTAGCTCTGTAGACCAGGCTGGTCTCGAACTCACAGAGATCCGCCTGCCTCTGCCTCCCGAGTGCTGGGATTAAAGGCGTGCGCCACCATCGCCAGGCTAGAAAACATCTTAATGATCCATATCAGTCACATTCAATCCATCTGTGAAGGACCTTGTCTATAAGTAATTTCCCTTCTGTTGAAACAAACCCATTTTTTTCTTGTTTTGTCCTCAGTGGGGGGGGGGGGGGGGGAACTCTGGTCACTGTCCTCTGTAGAGCAACTTCTCGGGAATTAAATTTCTTTTTAAAAATAAACTAAGCAACTTTGGTTAATTCAA